TAGTAGCTAAAAAAAAATTAACAAATATCGAAAACGTGGCTTCATGGGGAACTTTTTTAGTTTGATAGAATTACAAAAACTTGTTGGAAACCTTCTATTAAAATGTCTCAAGTTAGGTATGAAAAAAAAAACTTTTATGAATTTTGTCAAAATTGGAACTTTATAAGCATATAACAAATAATTGAGCCTATGTATTTTTAAAACTTCCATTAATGAAAATTATAAGGAACCTATTTTTTTGTTTTTCTCAACGCTTTCTAAAACTACTAGAAATTTTTAATTTTGACTTCCCAAAAATACCAACTAGTTTCACTTGTCTATCAGTAAAGATGCTGATCTAGAAAATCGGAGCACTTTTACTACCCAAAAAGCGCCATACAAAACAGAAAAAAAACACACATCATTGTAAAATCAATACATTTTTTCGCTCCTCTCAGAATCTAAGCATTTTTTTTCTATAAATATTATAGCTAAGTTGTTGTTTTTTGGGGGGGGACAGAGCGCTTTGAAGATTTTTATCATTTTAAACTTTGAAAATTGAATTTTAATCATATTAACTCGTTTTAAATGCAATACATTTATTTGACGACTGATGTCAATTAATATAAGTAGGTATAGCCGTAGGTATAGGTAGTAAAAATTTCAGCAATTAAGGATATAAAAATATATAAATAATATTTTTTTTCCTCATTAACTTGGCTTTTTTATGGTATCTACAAAAGCGGGGCCTGTCCAACTGGTGAAGGCGCGGGGCCAAGGGCGAGGGCCCCGCTCGCCCTGCCCTAGGGACGGCCCTGTACTCCACTGAATTCGTATGTACGAGCAATATTCGAAGCCATACGAATATTGCTCGTACATACGATTGTTCGTACACATTTTTTTCGTATACGAACATGATTTGGTATTTTATACAACCATACGAAACTAAGATACCTATACGAATCATTGGCCATACGGATGTTTTTCGTACTATATTTATATTCGTACGTATGACGTCATTATATGATGACGTTTATCCATATTTTAATTTCGAACCTATACGAACAGCATTTTAAAATACGTATACCTACATGGCTACATCGTATAGTCGTCCGACGTCCATACATTTAAACGAATTATGGTGGAATTCTATCTTACTATAATACTATAGGAACAATAATTTAATATATTTTATATATTATAATATTATTATGTGCAAAATTCAGTTTATGTACCTATATATGCTATAAAAATAAGAATTAACAAACTTTTTGTTCAATTGTTAGGCCTCTTGATGTGGCTGACGGTTCCATGTAAGGATATACCGTATTAATGACACGTTTCATTAAATTTTTTGATAGTCGATACGTCATAATAAATTTCCTTTCGGAAAATTCTATATAATTTTAAAACATTAAATTTACTTATAATTCCAATACCCGCGACTATATTTTCAAACTTTATATCATGATATCATGGATGATACTGAATAAAATTTGAATTGTAAGAACTTACCTTCAAAAGGGTTTCTATTAGTATACACTTGTCTATGGAATTCGGCAGCATATTCTTCGACAATTTCTAACGCTTCTATAGCGGCTAGATTTTCAATCAAGTCAAAGTCATCCATTTCGTCAATAAATGAAGAATGTCACTAATTGTATAATATTATGTCGCAATAATTCTATAAATTGATAAAAACACCGTTTTTAAAAATCTACAGAGAATAGCGATGCAAATGATTACGCAGCTATGATATTAATTAATTGAATTATTGAGATAATATTTATTTTGTTGTAGTATCTATAGGAAAACCAGCTTTCACATACCCTACTACCATACGTAATAATCATACTAAAACCAGTCGTACATACGAGCGATTTCGTCGTAGTGTCGTACGAATATAGTTACAAAATACCGTACGTAGGTATATAGGCACGGCACTAGAATTTTTTTTCCAGGGGGGGGCAGAGTGGGGCGAATATTTTTTTTACATGGGCTAAAATTGTTTCAACAAATGCTGAGGTTATTTAAATGAAATATAAATATTTTCGTATCATATAACATAATATAGCTATTAGCTATATAGTAAGTACATACTTTTATATTGTATGCTCTAAACGTCTAAACATATAATATTTACAAACTTTTGAATAGTTAAAAATGTTTTAAGAATAATATCAAATATTTTTTTTGTACCTTATGTAATATGTAAGAAAATGTTTAATCACAGACCTAAGACCTTCAACAACTATATTCATAATGATAACATGATATACAAAAATAATAATTTCTTTATGAGCTAAATATTGATTTTTTATACAATATCTGTTGTATGCACCATACAGTAAATGATTGAAAATCTTATAATATTGAAAAAGTTAACAAAAATGCATACAATTGCACTGATATCAGTAGGAATACAATTTGTTTTAAATAAAAACTTAACTTTTGATTAGGTACCTACCTTATATTTAACTAGGTAGTACATTTTAAATTTTTAATTCAATACATTTTTAAATTGGTATTTGCATAGTAGTGTATGTATTGACTATTGAAGAACCTACTTTATATTTTTTGTTAAATTTTGGAGGTTAAAATTGTTCATATATATACATTAAAACATAGATACTTTAAGAAATCCTTTTTTATTAATTATCAAGTAATATGTGAACTAATTACCATGACAAATAAGATTATAAAAAGGTGGGTAAGTGGATGTCGCTCTGCTGTACAGTAGGTTGCAAGTGGGTCACTGTATAATGGATGCTATTAAATTTGAATTCAATGATACAATATCATTGTATAAGAAAAACGATTCTGAGCGAAGACGGTATGTCAGTCTAGGTTTAAGGCAATTATATACATATCTATGGTATTAAAAAAAAAATTGAAATATAATAAATTCCAAATTAATCATATCACATTATCCATTAGGTACTTATAACACGTTATACATCAATAACAAACCCTGATACTATCATAGATATATAATATAGTGTACTTTAGAAGTTTCAAGTACCCACGAATAGTATTATACACTCACAACAAAATAACGAAAATAGGTATGCTAGGTTTTTTAATATGTAATTTCGTCCCAAATTTGAACTTAAAATGTCTGTAAAAAATAACTGTGTTCATATATTTTTTAGATTTTTTGGCTACAGTATGAACTATTTATGAGAATCTTTTTATTAAATTTGCAATCCTTAGCTATAAAAAATGATCATTTTATAATTTATTAATTACGATGGTTGATAATTTTCGAGATTTTGATAAATTTTGTCAAAATGCGATCTTTAAATGCTTATAAAAAAAAATTGTGCCTATGTATTTTTAATATTTTTCAATTGCTATTGTAACAATATATCAGGAGCCTTGTATTAATTTTTTACACTTTTTGGCCCAACAGATAAAACTTTATTGATATTTATAGAAAAAAAAAACTAAAAAAATTGAAAACTGAAAATGTCCGTAAACGGCTCAAAAAGAGTCAAAATATTTTTAAAATTGTATGGTATATAGGAAATGCTAATATAAACATTCAGTGAAATTTTCATGTATCTACAGTAATTCGTTTTTGAATTACAACAAAAAAAGGAAATCGCCACATGAGAAATCGAGTGAATATCCTATGTTGTAAAAATTAGAATTTCAAACGCTCATAAAAATTTAATTTGACTTTCCGGTCGAAATTTTTTTATTGATAAAGGTAGACAATCTTATAAGGAACCTTGTATTACATTTTCATATCTTAGATTTAAAAAGAAAAGTTTTTACAAATTCTTAACTCAAAATAATTTGCTAATTTACGTGATTTTTCCATATTTTGTCAATTTTTGAACTTTAAATGCTTATAAAAAAAAACTGTGACTAACGATTTTTAATATTTTTCATCTGCCTTTCAAACCATATACTAGGAGCCTTCTATTAAATTTTCAAGTTTTTTTAACCAACAAATAAAATTTAATTGATATTTCTAGAAAAAAAACTAAAAAAAAATGAAAAATGAAAATGTCTCTAAACAGTTCAAAATAAATCAAAATATTTTGAAAATGTTATCGTGTATAGAAAATGCAAATATAAACAACCACTGAAAATTTCATGTATCTACGGTCATCTGTTTTAAAGTTATAGCAAAAACCAAATTCAATTTTCTGAAAAATCAATTTTGCGTAAAAATTCCCGTTTTTCCTTCATTTTTCTTTTGTTTTTCTTGGCGCTTTTGAAAAGTACTGGGAATTTTAAATTTTGACCTCCCCAATGCACCAACGATATTCACTTTCCAATCGAACAAGATACTGAAGTCGAAAATCGAAGTATTATTTCGACTACTTATCGTGTACACAGACACAAAAAAAATTAAAAAATAAATATAAAAATTAAAAAAAAAAAAAAACACACATCATTGTAAAATCAATACATTCATCGTTTCACTCAGAATCTAAAATAACAAAATAAGAAAATTGAATTAATTATTTAATTATTTTAAATAAGAAATTTGTCATGCTAATTACCAAACTAATATAAGTAGGTAGGTGTATAAGTATTTTGTCAATTTTATATTCTGAGTGGGACGATGAATGTATTGATTTTACAATAAAGTGTGTTTTTTTATTTTTATTTTTTTTGTGTCATTTTTGTTATTCACAATTGGACCGGTAGGGGAGGTGCTCAAACAATATGTTCAGACACTAATTGACACAATATATTAATGTTCATAACTTTGGCATATTTAGGTACAAATAATTTTTGAGAAAATTACAAGTTTATATTATATTTAAACATTGAAGTATAATTATTAATTTATTACACTCATAAAATTAAATGAATATTAGGTATTAATTATCTTATAATAAACTTTAAACTATATTTGACATTAAAAATTTATATATTATCAATGTGAAAAAAAATGTTGTAAAAAAAAAAAAATATATATATTATCAATGTAAAAATAACATATTAAAAATGACATTTAACTAAGTAATCCTTATAACAAAAACTAGTAGAACAAATAATATTTAGGAGTTTGTTAATACTTTAAAGTGTTCAGCAGTGTGAGAAGCAAGTGTCATTGATGCTGGATTGTACATATCAGATCGATCTAAAATGGCATCCAATTCTTCGTCAGATAAGACTATACGAACAAAATTATATTAATAAAAAATTGGAAAAATATCCTACATATTATAAACAAATAAAACTTATACTTATAATAATCTACTTACTAAATCCATTTGGTTGTATTTTCTTAGTGTACTCTGATGATTTCAATAAAGTCATGAGATCTTCAATACTTGACATGGTAAGTGTTGCAGTTCTACTAAATGAACCTAGTTTGTAAAATAGTAATTTTATTATACAATAACACTTTTCACTCAGCTATAAAATAATAAATATGTTTCATTAAGAATAAGTTTTTATCTATATATAAATAAAAGACAAACAAAAAAAAACCTATGTCCTTATGCATTCCTAAAACGTTTATCCGATTGCGATGGAATTTGGTACAGAGATAGATTAGATATGAGATATTTTTTTTTTCTTTATTTATACATATGAATGTTTGGTTTTTTTATTAATCGGATTTTAGTACAATTAGGTTAAGTTAGGATTTTGTATTAATTGATTGTATAACTTTGATTCTTTAGAGTTAAATTATACACTTAAGTACCGCTCGCATAATCACAAAAACCTAGCAATAGCAACGTATTGCCGTGTCCAGCTAGTTAACTATAAATAACAATGGTGTATACTATGTAGACATGTAGTATGTACCAATATATTACTACACTTATTATTGCTGTTTTAAATAAGATAACTTAAGTCAAATTTCTACTGTTTTCTTAAATAAGAACATTGTTAAATTAAATACATTTACTACAGAAAACATTAGACAGGAAATTGCTACTTTTGCGGGAATGAAAATTAGTGAAGTTAATTCACTCAATTAAATAAAACCTGGAAAAATAGTCTTCTTTAAGCTCAAAAATACTTTAATTATTTTAGATATATTATTAAGAGGGCACTATACCCGCATGCGTTCTCCCCACAAACATAACATAGCAAATTATACGCTCGGCTGATCACGTTCATATCTGTTAGTTTGAAAAGAAGAGAGAATTGTCCACCTCTTATAAAATTTAAAGTTACAATAAATATCTAGTGAACCTCATAGGTTGTTTTTTTTTTAGGTTTAAATTTTAAAGCAAATTATGAGGATTTTAAAGTTGTGAATTGTGTGTGCATTTTAAAATGCTTATAACTTGCTATACAATTTAAATTTAAAACCATATAACGTTCACTAGATAATAATCTTACCTTTAAATTTTATAAGAGGTCAAGTTACTCTAATTTTTAAACTAATAGAGCTAAAATTGATCTACCAAGCATACATTTTGCTATGTTATGTTTGTAAGACAGAGTGAACGCATGTGGGTGTAGCTTCTTTTAAATGCTTGTTTTGTAAACACGAAAATATAATATTTTCTATAGTCAACTTTGAATAAATAAAATCAATGTTAAAATCATATAAAAATCAAACAAATAATGAAAAATTATTTTACCACTGCCAATGATCACTTTTTCTAGTTTTCTTTTTGCAGTTGCAAAATTCAATATTCTTTCATCAATAGTGTTCTTAGAACAAAACCGATATACAACAACCGGCTTTGTTTGGCCCATTCTATGACACCTATCTTGAGCTTGCAAGTCAACTTGTGGGTTCTGAAACATTAGTATTTATGAAGTTATAAATTAACATTATTATTTTGTCTAAGATGTTTGAACATTAGTGATTAAAAGTCCCACATGTCCAAAAATGTTTTAATTACTTTATTTAAATTGGTCAACAAAAATATAATTAATCTAAAACCACAAGACACATGTTTTGCAAACATAGATTATGATGTACCACCCAAATTATCATAATAGTATATAATAGTCATACACCATAATTTTATTGAAATGAACTTTAGATTCTGAGAGTGGAACGATGAATGTATTGATTTTACAATGATGTGTGTTTATTTTTTTATTTTTGTGTCTGTCATCACCTTTTAGGACAGTAAAAGTGCTTAGATTTTCTTCAACAGTACCTTTTCTGATAGGAAAGTGATCTAGTTGATACTTTGGGGGATCAAAAGTAAAAATTTAATAGTAGTGTTCAAAAAACAAAAGAAAAATTAAGGAAAAAAGGGAATTTTTACGCTAAATCGATTTTGCTTTTTGTTGTTACTCTAAAACAAATGAACATGTATATACATGAAAACTTCACTGATTGTTTATATTTCCATTTTCTATACATTATAAAATTTTCAAAATATTTTGAGTTATTTTGAGCTCTTTACGGACATTTTTAGTTTCCATTTTTTTTAGTTTTTTTTTCTATAAATATCAATAAAATGTTATTTGTTGGGTACAAAAGCTTAAAAATTTAATAGAAGGCTCCCAATATTATTGTTTTTAAAGACAGATGAAGAATATTAAAAATCCTTAGACACAGTTATAGTTATGAGCATTTAAAGTTCAAATATTGACAAAATACGTAAAAATGACAAAAAATAAAAATTATTTTGAGTTAGAAATTCATAAAAATTTTTCTTTTTAACTCTAAGATATGAAAATGTAATACAAGATTTCTCATAAGTTTGTCTACCTTTATCAAAAAAAAAATTTCTACAAGAAACTCAAATTAAATTTTTATGAGCGTTTGAAATTCATATTTTTACAACATTTGATATTCACTCGATTTCTCATGTAACAATTTTTTAATTTTGTTGTAATTAAAAAACGAATGATTGTAGATACTTGACAATTTCACTGAATGTTAATATTAGTATATCCTATACAGTATACACCATATCATTTTAAAAATATTTTGAGGGGATTAAGAGTAAAAATTTAACAAAAGTTTTCAAAAGCGCGGTGAAAAACAAAAGAAAAATTAAGGAAAAACCGGAATGTTTATGCAAAATCTGTTTTCAAGAAAATCGATTTTGGTTTTTGGTGCCACTCTTAAACAAATGACCGTAGGTACCTGAAATTTTGACTGAATGTTTATATTAGCATTTCCTATACACCATACAATTTTGAAAATATTTTGATTCTTTCTGAGCTGTTTACAGACATTTTCAGTTTTACAAAAATGTACAAGACAAAAATTAAAATATAATTCATAAAATGTGAAAAAAAGTTATTAATAAATGGGATTAAAGTAATAAAGAATGATAAATAGACCAATAAAGGCCGAAAAATTTAAAAGTAAAAAATTCATAAAAAAAAAAAGAATTCTAAATTGAGTTAATTTGTACTTAATTCAAACATTGTGTTAAAAAGTTATGTCTTACAATAAGTTAAAAATAAGCTTAACTTTAGTAGACTATATTGGAAAGACCAAGAGTAAGAATTAGTAACAATGAAAATGTAACATGTTGGAAAAATTCCTTCTAAAAAGAAATTTGCTTATTTCAGTGGCAAAGCGTCATAGAAGACAATGAAACAAAGTCTCCCCACTTACAAATTAGATCAAGGGAAAAATCTTTTTGTTTCATGAAATATTTACAAATTTGAACGTCATTTATATTATAAAATATAATATGATGTGTGTTTCAATATTTGTTAAAATCAGTTTTTGGTTGTACAGTAATAGAATTCTTAATATAGATTACAAAAGATACGTTGCAATGTCTCCCAATTATGGATGTACAGGGGGAATTTGAATGGGAGTGGGGTTTACTATGTAAGCTATGAGACGCGTCTCGCCATTCATATTACCTCAGTCCTCAATTATTGACATCGCCGAATAAGTGCCATTTTTATTTCAATGTCTCCCCAACCAAAAACTCACGCTTCGCCACTGGTTTATTTCCTCATAATATATTTGTAAAATATAAACTTGTTCTAAATCTTCTTTATGTACAAAGTGTGTTTCTTTATGTACAATTATCAAATTATCAAAAAAAAATACCTTTTTTTTATTCAGTAAAATTTCCATTTGTTTATTCAATGTTGCTTCATATAATTGTTTTTGTGTTTCTGTAAGTGGAGCATAAATAACAATTTCCTTTTTCGGTGGGAGGTTTAGATCAGTTTCATTTTTTTCCCGTCTCAAAATAAAGGGTTTTAATATCTATAACAAAAGATAACAGATAATTTTTCTTGTATTTTTATATTGTGTATAGTAGAAAAAAAAATAGCTAAAGCTGGTAGATAAGTTCCAAACTACTTATTTAATATTGAAAATAATACAAATAAATTATTGGCCCTAACACCTTTGTCTACTTATGAATCACAAATTAAATACTTTTATGATTATTTATTAACACTTGGAAAAATATATTTTGAATATATCTTTGCTGAAACATCAACATTCAAATTTAAAATGAATTACTTAAAGGTGATAAATATAAATCCTTTTGAACACAGAAGTTCAGTTGTAAATTTCATTTCTTAATTACTAATTAGTAATATATTATTCTTAGATTTTAGGAACAAAAAATCATCTTAATCATATTTTTAATTCATGGAATATACTTATTTCACAATAGTGAAAAATAGTTGGTAAAAATAAAAATGATCAAAGTTAATTGCATTTTATTCATGAAATAAATGATTTTAAATCTGCTGAGCTTGTTGAGGATCTTATGAAAGGCATTTCTAAATTTTTAATACTTTATGTATATTAAATAAACTAACATCATTAAGTTTTAAGATAAATATGAAGTTTATTACCTTTAGAATGATGTCTAATAATTCGTCCTTTTTGACCATATTAACAATTTTGTCATTAGAATCAAAAAACTTATCAATAACAAACCAAGAATTAAAATCTTCTAGTTGATCAAACATTTTAGGCATCAACCAATTCAACAGTGACCATAATTCTGACATATCATTCTGAATAGGTGTCCCTGTGAGTATGAGCTTGTTGGTACAATTAAATGCACGCATACATCTAAAAACATTAATTTTTAAAATTAAATTTTTTTTTAATAAATCAATCATTATAATTATATATTTTACATACGTGGATATTTGGGAATTAGCGTTCTTCACTTTTTGTCCTTCATCAATTGTAATGAATTTCCAATCAATATTTTTTAAATATGTTATATCGCGACGCACAACATCATAAGTAGTTATTACAACTGGTTGACATTTAAATTTATTAACTTTATGAGTACTATTGAACTTTGATCGCAACTGAAAGCGTTCACTTTCCGTACCATGGTATAAAACAGTTGGAAGCTTAAACAATAATGAATGAGCATAAATTACATATTTTTAAAATAATAAATTTGGTTATTTACCTTAGGGGAAAATTTTGAAAATTCTGACAGCCAGTTGGGAATTGTAGATAGTGGTGCAATGACAAGAAATGGTCCGGGTTTTTTCCATTTCCAAAAGAAAACAGTAAAAAGCTATAGTTTGTACAGTTTTACCAAGTCCCATTTCATCAGCTAAAATTCCATTCAAACCATTTTCATACAAAGTCTAATAAAAAAAAAGGTTGTTTAGTTACAATTATTTAAAAAACGTTGTTGTATTAAGTTTTTCTAATAATGTAAATACATACTCTAATCCATAGGAGACCTTCAATTTGGTGGGCTTTAAGATTCCCATGAAATAATTTTGGTTGCTGAAATAAGCTTAAATAAGCTTAAATAATACTCTTCTTCATTTACATCCTAAACATCAATACTAGTTATTATACATTTAATTGAGGTTAAATAATTCATAGACCAAGTGAAAAAAAATACTTAATTATAATATAACTAAAGAATAATGTTCTTCTTTAGCTATAAATATGTATTTAAACATACACTATCTCTGCACGCCCGGTCAATGTCAACAACTTACATACAAAAATTAACAAAATACAATTATAAATTATTCTGGCATTAGGCCTTAGAACAAATACTAATAGGTAGTGATATAAGCATTATATAGTTTATTATATATTTCATTTTGTGATATCAACTCGTAATTATATAATTTGAAAAAAAACTACAATATCCTGTACCAGTGAAAATTTAATTTTGTATAAAAATGAAAGTGAAAATAATTAGCAACAGTTACATAAAAATAATAATAACATACATCGATTGGGGAATAATCATCACATGTTTCACTTTTGTACATACAATTGCATCACGTAAAACAAATGCCTATTTTAAATGAGAGTGCAAAATAGACGTGATATTATCATTGTTGAGCGGGGTTATTTGGTAACCTGTTACCTACCACAATACATATATCAAATAGTTCAAAATATTCAACTACTCCACCATGGGTTCGATGGTTATTTAAATATCATTAATAACATTATTTGATATGGTAAATAACAAGAAAATTCTTAACACAGACCACACGGAATACCGATGATGATCTAATAGATCTAATAGAAAAATATACATAATTTTTGTTTATTTGTGTAAGTTGACACTGTTCAGACGTCTAGACAAAACGTTAAACATAAACAAAATATTTACTACAATTGGTTGGTTATCTGTATTCTTAGTCGATTCATCTTTATAATTTGGCACATTTTCTTTCATTGTCATAGCATTACCTAGTTCCTTTCTATAAAAAAATAATACAATTAGTTTATGATTTGTAAAATATCATATTTTGTAAACATAGGCGTGCACAGACTTCAATTTCCAGTTGAGCCTGGAGGAGTTAGTGTCCTCAGTTAGTATAACCATTAACCAGCCTATTAATGTCTTTAGTCATAGTACATATTTTATACACAATGTTTTTGTTAGATGAATAAAATTGATGTACCCAGTGGTATACACAAATATTTTTAATTTTATTTCACCCATCATCATGATTCACGGCCAATAAAATCTTCAAACATATTATTATAATAAATATATATTTCATACATTTTACTATGCCCCTAAAAAGATTCTGGCCAGCCGTGGCTCAATCGGCTTTCCCCTTTGCGCACGCCTATGTTAGTAAATATTTCTATAAACAGTATTTCAATTTAGTTGATATTCCAGTTGATATCTTAAATTACTCAACTATAAAAACTTACTTAATAATTTGAATTTTACATATTTTTAATCTGGATTCAAAAAGATTGGATAATTTAGTACTATTTTTCAATAGTGTAAGTAAATTTTGAAATCTTACTCTCTTTTCTTTTTCATCTAAATCATTAACCTAACAGATAACAAACAAAAATAAATGTAAAAAAAATGTTTGATTTCATTTGTAATAGTTATTGTAATGAATAAATATATTAGGTAAATGCTGATATACATCAATCTGAATTGTATTTCTATAAAAAATTAGATTTAATTTTCATAGCAATTCCCTAGAGTAAGATATTGAGATAATTGTTTACCAAGGATTCTTCATCTTTTTTCGTGTGATCTTCCTTTAACCGCTGTTCTTCCAATACCAATTCTTTTGGAAAGAAACCAATATCTAAAAAAAGTATTAAAAATATAATTTTTATCAATAAAACTGAATATAAAATGTATCTTTTAACTTTGAACTCTTAAAATATAAAAGAATAAAGTGAATTCATACTGAAAATAAACAAATTATTGTGTTGCACAGAATTGTGGGGGAATTAAATTAAATATTTTTTTTTTATATTAAAATTAAATTTGAAAATGCAAACACAAATAAATAGTTTGAAACAAGTATTTGGGTGGGCAGGCGGAAAAAAAGCCCAGAAATATAAATATAAATGTGACCTTGTATTTCTATTTCTGGGGTTTTTTCCTTGGGCTTTTTTCCACGATTCATTTGGGTGTACCTATTGGTAAAAGTTATTTATTAAATTTTAATTATCCGATTTAGGTAGGTACTAAAAAAATATTTTTACAGTTTCAATTCAATTTAGAAAATTCTTACCGGGTATATCGATTTCTTCATCGGTGTTGTTAAAATGTTCATGTACACTTAAATCATTTTTTTCATACAACTCATCTTCTTCTTTACCTAAATAAAACAAGTGTTCTATATAACCAACAAATTATTGTGTAACTTAGAATTGTGAGTGAATTTTAAAAAACCTTGTTTAACTTGAATTAAAATTAAATTTGATATGCATACAACAAAAATAGACAGCTTTAACAAGTATTTGGGTGTATTAGTAAAAGTTATTTATTAAATTTAAACTATCAGATTTAGGTTACTAAAAAAATATGTTGACATTTAAATTCAATTTAGAAAATTCTTATAAACACATGGGTACTATTAATAATATTTATAATGCTAATTGTGTGATAAAAAACGATATAATAAGAATTGGTTGAATCGGGAGTCAGGAAAATACATATTTAACTTTGGTATAAATTACTCAATGATCAACAAACTAATGTATTTACCCTTTCCTGTATCTTATATTTTTATTTTTATAGATCAACAGACGTTAAGTGGCATGATGATAGTCAGCCACATACACAGGGGGGTTGTTTTGGGTGTTCAAACATCCCCCCCCCCCGAAAAATTTGGTTTTTGTATGGTTATTTACCTTATTCTATTTTAATGTTAATTGTCATATTATACTATACTTTTATGGACAGGTATAATATTACATTATGTTAGCAGGCCCGGCTCAAGGGGTAGGCGACATAGGCCCACGCCTAGGGCGGCACATAAGCAGTACTTTAGTAAGAGGGCGGTATTTTCAAAATACTGATAATATTATATTATTAGGGGCGGCAAAATTTGATTTCGCCTAGTTCACTATTTTCGCTTGAGCCGGTCCTGCGTACATTACACTTAAATAGTGGGTTTCCTATAAATACTGCTTCTATGTCAACTACATGAATTGCTCTTTCTTCAATATTACCATTGGTAAAATAATTCTATTATAAATTATTATCGAATTCGATTATGTATAAAAAGTAAAAAAAACTGTAAAAAAGCTTGTGAATAATGTGTAATGAATAATAATAAAAAATTTACTTAAATTGATTCCGAAGACATCTCCACCCGAAAGGAAACTTTTCCACACTACACTCATAAAGTGGGTTTCCTTTGAAAACTGCATGTATGTCAATTAGGTGAACATTTTCTTCGATATTACCATAGGTAAAATAATTCTGAAATACACAAGCACATACATTTAAACATTATAAACACACGGAAAAAAAATTATATCATTATTAAATTCAAAAATTTGTCATTTCTATCAAGACTGAAACATCCTTACTCAGGAATCCAACCAATCTCAGAAGAAAAACATTTTTTTTTATGGTTATTATTTATTTTTCATTAATCCGACGCTACATCCGAATGCGTTATCTCTGTATCAGTGTATCACAAATACATAACATAGCAAATTGTACATTCTGAATAATCTATTTTACTCTATTATGACTAATATTGGAGTAAATTGACCTACTATAACATTTAGCAGTACTAATAATATCTAGTGAACCTCAAATGTTTTTTATTAGATTTTAATTTTAACATTAAATTTAAAGTACATATAATAGCATTGAGTACCTACATTATATATACCCAATAGTAATAGGTATTTTTTATAATCAAAAATAAGGAAATAACTTATTACAATGTACAATTTAAATAAATCATTACAAGTTTAAATTAATAAATGAATAAGCATACCTTAATAACATTCATACCGGATGAGTTTTTCCTGCTCTTTATTAATTGTTTTAAATGTTTAAACTTTCTGTTGAAAAACCATCTCCTGTGTATAATTTTTATAATTTTTGGCATTAAATCAGTTTTTTTTATATTTTTGTATTTTGCCCGAGTATTACGATGCTCTTTCAAATTCTTATAATATATTCTATTTTTAATACCATAAGTCTATAAAAAAAAAAGTTTGTTATATTTATAATAAGTTACAAATTTAAGGTTTATGTTACAGTAAGATTTTATAAATTTGTCTCTCATACATGTGAACATCACAACATCACAATAATATTCATCGTTTTTGGGAAAATACATTCAAGAAAATATTTGAATATTGTTATGATTTACCATTTCTATACAAGACGCCAGAAGTACATCTAAGAATTAGTTTTTATTAAGCTTCTGGGAGAAGGCTTACATTTTTATTTCGGTATTAAAACTGATTTCTTACAATTGATTAACAATTTTTTTGGAACAAGTCTAGTTTACCGGGCACATTTTTTTTTTGAAATTTTTTTTTTTGAAAAGGGTTGTTTTGACGAGTTAAGAACGATGGTGCAAAAATAAAATTGCGGAAATGATTATTTTGGAAGTTATAGCTTCCCAAAGTTAACGATTTTACGTTTATACGCGTGCTCCGGTCGCCAAACTCGACCTATAAAACTATAAAACTATAAATGACAATAATAGTTGAAAATAAAACTGGTACCTACCTATCTACTAGTAGTATACACTGGTACCTACCTATCTACTAGTAGTATACCTAGTATAATAATAATAATAAAATATTTAAAATCAATAAAATAAAACTGGTAAACTACATAATTTAATAATAATATAATAAATGTTTAAAACAAAACTGGTATACAACCTTGTATAATAATAATCATAAAATAATTAAAATTAATAAAACAAAACTTGTATCTATACTAGTGCTACATATTATAGTAATAAATATAAAATATTTCAAGTAAATAAAACAAAACTAGTATATTAATTAATTTAATAATAATACAAATATTTAAAATAAAACTGGTATCTATAGTCTATACTACATATAATATTTTATACCTACTACTGGTTCATAAAAATTATTTGTTTAGTTAATTTTTGTATTTTACTAACAGGATTTAAAATTTCTGTTGAAAACATTTTGCCAAAAGAATAGAGTCGAATACTTAGATATTTTTTAACTAATAATGAAATTAATACCATCTTATGGGGTCTATCTAGCAAAGGAACATTATCACATTGAAGTGTATTAAAAATATTATTATCGAATGCAAATGTATTATTACATAGGTTTATTATTTTTAAATCAAGATTTTTATATTTACGACTGATAACAAATTTTATTACTGGCAGAATTCAAAATCGAATAGAATTCGAAATCGAATAGAATTCGATTATGTAAAAAAAGTAAAAAAACACATAGGTAGCTAATACAAAAAGCTATTAAGAAAAGCTTGTGAATAATAATAATAATAATAATAATAATAATTGAATGTGAAATGAAGTGTCTCTTTTTACTTAAATTGATTTCTGAGGCATTTCCACCCGAAAGGAAACTTTCGTACATCTAGGCCCGGCTCAAGGGGTAGGCGACATAGGCCCACGCCTAGGGCGGCACATAAGCAGTACTTTAGTAAGAGGGCGGTATTTTCAAAATACTGATAATATTATATTATTAGGGGCGGCAAAATTTGATTTCGCCTAGTTCACTATTTTCGCTTGAGCCGGTCCTGTATGTTAGTGAAAAACCGTCTAAAGCAAAATAAAAATTTAATACTAAAAAATTAAAATAATTAATAATATAATTTGAACAAAAATAAAAATACTTAAACGGGATTTATAAATAAAATAAAATTATACCTATTGTGTATTGACGTGGGTACAAAAAAAATTCTAAAATGTACATAGACACGGGAAATACCTAAACATTAAGCTATAGGTACATGACAGAATAACAATTACCTACTACGAATAATGGTATATTATATTATTATAACAACATTATTAAATGTACATAGAGACATAGAAGTTAATTACTGTGAAGATGTTCATAAAATAATGGCTAAAACTTCACAAAAATTAGATTTAGTACTGTCATTTTTTTGTTATATCAATGTTTATATTTTATAAAAAGTATTATAAGTAGGTACAGCTAATTTTTGTAAAAAAAATTTGTATGTTTATTAAAAAAAGTTCTACTTTTCAAATAACTGATTTTCAAAAACACCCACCAAAACTTTTTTCTGCGTACGTCACCGATGATAGTATTTACAGTGTCATATTTGTTGGATTATCATAATAATAATTTAGTGGATTGATTTATTAATTTAGAGAATTCCACACCCACATGTGTTGTCACAACGAACTGAGATATAGTCTTTGGTTGTCTGTCATACAAACGCAATTACATACCACATTGTACGTTTTGAATAATTAATTTAACTCTGTTATAATTTTAGAGTGAATTGACCTATTAGTGCTATTACCAAATTTTGTGGTAAGAATATTATCTAAAAGGTGATGTTTTTTTTATTTTTAAATTTTAAAGAAAAATTACAGGGTTATTAAAATAATAAAATGTCTTTGATCTTACCGATATCAACACTATCTTGACCATTCAATTGTAATTGTTTACTCATTTTTCTTTCTTGGTTCATACCAATCGTCAGTACCTATTATATAATCAGCTTAATTTCATTTACCATATTTTCCATGTTAACTGTAACAAATTATACAGTTTATTAGTGAAGATAAGGTAAAGAGATAATTAGGGAAATAAGGGATGGAGAGAGCTGGTGTTGAAGGTACCCAAAATCCTCCTGCATTTGATTCCATTGAAACTCCAATAATTGTCAGTTGGGTGACATTTTCAGGATAAAAAACATAAATAGGTATCACATTAAATAATAACTTGTAGAATACTTACATTGATTTTCAAAAATTATGATTTGGAATTTCGAAAAAATTATAGGTAATTCTCTTAATTAGTTACAACCGGACAATGTTCTTGAATGTTGATTATAATTTATAACTTATAAGTTGTCCGATCTGTTTTTCAAGAGAAAATACTTTTTGAATTCAAAATGTTATCGTAAAGTGGATTACACATTAGGCGATTCGAACGTCGCGAATAATCGCCCAAAATTAAACATGTACGTTTCGGCGCGTCTCATTTACGTGTGTGAATAAGCCCATATAAAAGTATATGTTTAATTTTGGGCGATTAATCGCGACGTTCAAAACGCGCGTTCGAATCGCCTAGTGTGTAATCCACTTAACGAAAAATATGTGATGGACAAACAAGTAACAATGACTTAATAATAAAAAACTATTAAACTACCGTTACAATAGACAATATCTACGTACCATAGCATTACAGACTATTAAATTCGCGAAGACAAAATAATAGAAACCGAACAAAGAATGAACATCAAAGTTTACGTCGAACAGGACACGAGGCCGGGGGGCCGAGCGGGAACAATGTGAAATGTAAATGGAAAAATGACTATAACAGTATTAACGTCTATTGAAAGTAAGAATAAAGACGCGATACGATAGGAGGTTATCTCGAATTGGCAGGGAAAATGTACAAAGAAATGTTCAGCGGAAGAAAGAACAGCGCACGATGTAGATAATAGCATAGAACCACAGAATATGTTCTCGTTATCAGTGAAACCCTCAACCATAATATGCAAAGAATACCACTCGATAAACAAACGTTATCAAGACTATAATTTGCAAATATGCATACTAATTACTAACTACCTACTCTACGTTTTTTTGCCAACTGTACAATTTTGTTTCTCTTTAATAATAATAATGTTATGTAGGTAGGTAGGTACCTTTTAAAATAGTTTCCCGCTATTTTATAAGTTTTTTTAATAATATACCTATTTATAATAATGTTGTACGTACCTACCTACCTACTTATATTTGCATTATTAATTGTAATTTTTGTTAATAATATAGGTAATTATAATAACGTCCATAGGCGTGCGCACGGGGCGAGCCGGTCAAGCCCAGGCTCGACCTGAAACTTTTTAGGGGCATAGTAAAATGTGCGTATATATTTAAATATTTTATTATAATGCTTATATTATAATAATACGTTCGTGGAGATCATGAAAATGTTGTTTGTCGTGAAAGTATAAAAAAATCAAAAATATTTGTGTGTACCTACCTAACCCAACCACTACATACATTTTATTAATCTAAAAAAAAACATTATACTTTTATACAAATACAATAGTCAATAACTATAGTACCTACTATAGACATTAATAGGTTAATACATCAACATGTAAGTTGTTGTGTTAAAAAAAAAATTAGAGGCGTTGTCCAAATATTAGGGCACTATAATTTGTCCAGGCTCGACCAGAAATTTAAGTCTTCGCACGCCTATGATAACGTTGAACCTGCAATTTATATCTTAGTATTTTTTACAATGTTTCCTTGTTTCTTAATGCATAAAACATTACGATTTAGTTAGGTAAATCCCAAATTTATGTATATTAATATACGTACATACTACATAGGTAGAATTAATTAAGTTCTCATTTTTTAATAATATTTAGTAGGTATTAGTATTTAGTATTTTAAAATGTAAACTGTTTGTACATCTTAAAATACTCATACCTCGCATTAAAATTAAAATATAATAAAAAGCCTATGTCATTGTCTAGATGATAATCTTACCTTTAAATTTTATTAGAGGTCAATTCCCTCTAATTTTTAAATTAACGGGAGATAAACGTGTTTTGCTGAGCGTAAAATTTGCTATGTTACGCACTTGTTAGGCGGAGAAAACAAATATAACTGTAACGGCCCCTCAATGACACATTGATTAACAATAAATTATTGTAATTAATACGATTAATTAAATAATCTATATTACATAGATCTGACATTTATTTTCTTAATAGGTACACACAAATTTAATATCGTTCGGCACAGGGCCTGATTAACCAATAGGCTAAGTAAGCTAGAGCCTAGGGCGCCAATCGGTCAACGTTAAATCGGGGGAGCCACAAAAATTTTTTTACGAATGTAGAATTTTTGCATAATATATACTTTAAAAAAAAAAAATTATATTTTCGTTATTACACGTTCAATGCCGCTGCGGCGCTGCCTATTCGCCGTGCCATTATTACCGCGTCGCCGCAACGAATTTCCGCCCGGTCGACTATTGTAATATACAGAGTGTAACAGAAAGATATGACAAAATCGATTTTGGTTTTTGGTTAAACCCTAAAACAAATGAACGTATATACATGAAATATTCACTGGTAGTTTATATTTGCATTTTCTATACACGATAACATTTTCAAAACATTTTGATTTGTTTTGAAATGTTTAGGAACATTTCCACTTTTTCCAGTATGTGTATGTGTCATATCTTTCTGTTACACTCTGTATTACGTTATTTGTCATATACCTATTTCTTGTAATCGTCGCGGACTTATCGCACCGACGACCGAACGATCCCACATCCACTAATATTATATATTATATAATATTGTTGTGTGTGCGTGAGGCGACCCGACGACGGGTAATATTGTACTATTTATATTTTTTCTTAAGCGGACTACACACGTAGAGTTTTGACCGCGCGATTGAATGGCGTGAGGGCTATCACGCGGGAAAGAATTTCCGTCTAAACGATTTAACGTCTTGCAGGATTGATCGTGTTCAAACCTGTACGGTTGTTGCCCGTTCTTGCGCGTGGTTAATCATTTTATCGTTTTTTTTTCATTTTTGTGACGACGCGCCGTTCAATCACTGCCACCTGGTAAATTACCCGCGTAATTATTTTGAATTCCGATATTTAAGAAATTTAATTATTGAAGACTATTAGGCGCCTTAAATATTAATTAAGCGAACAGGTTACTGGTACCTATAATATTTTAATACGTAAGTACATATAATTTAAAATAATGTTTATATTTTTTAATTATTATTAATAAACATTAAGAATAAAATATAAATATTACATTATAATTTATTTTATTCAAGTATCTTAGCATGTCTGATGTTCGCTGTTGGTCCAAAGAATTCTTAACAGATTTCTTAAACATTTATAAGTCTTTTTCCTGCCTTTGGAAAAGTAAATCAAAAGATTATAGCAACAAACATCTACGCAATGATGCATACGATGAGATGGTTAATTTTTGCAAGCCCAGTTTTCCAGAAGCCAATAGGGAATTTGTTGTCAAAAAAATACAAAGCTTACGTGGATCATTCAGGTAAAGCACCTATATTTGTTATTACATATTTTCTAATACATACCTATTAAATTACTTTTAAATTTTAATTTAAAAAAAAAACTGGGGAGTCCAGTGGCGCCGAGTACGTACTTTAGGTGGTTCAAATGAACCACCTAAATTGGGTGGGTGGGCGTTTGTTGGCACTGGGGTGTATAATATAATTTAGTAGGCATAATTGTAATTTGTATAAACCTGTGAACATAATATTACATAGGTAACTTATAGTACCTACAGGCTACAGCTACAGGCTACAAGTTAACAACACAGTTTAAAATAAAATACATTAATTTACTGTGTACCGTGTCCATAACTTGGATAAGGATTAAGGTTATTTAAACAAAGAATAACAAACATTGTGAATAGTCGTGTGTTCTATATTTATCTTTGAAAAATATTTATATTGTATAGATATTATAACAACGCAGACCTGTTAGCTGTCACCAGTTTTAATTTAAATATAAAATAATAATAAACGTATCAATCTATTTTTGTTTTATAAGAAACATTTAGCTTTAACAATATTTATTTTTACTTATTTTATTTTGATATGAAACGAAGACACATTGTACATTAATTATTGTACTTGGGTTCAAACTCTCGAAGACCGACGTTCGTCTCCATCTCTTGAATTAAAACTGTTAACTGTATTAGGTTATAAACCATAAGCACAAAATCGATGTCAGAGTAATTCTAAAAAAAATTTCCGTAGATACATGAAATTTCCACTGGATGTTTATATTAGCATTTTCTATATACGATACATTTTTCAAATATTTAAATTAGTTTTGAACTGTTTACGGACATAATAATCAGTTTCCAATTTTTTTTTTTTTCTATGAATATCAATAAAATTTTATTCGCGCGTAGGGTAAAAAAGCGTAAAAATTTAATATAAGACTCCTGATATATTATTACAATAGAAGTTGGAAAATATTCAAAATCTATAGGCACAATTTATATTTATAAGCATTCAAAGTTCGAATTTTATCACATTTTAAATTAAAATTTTTTTTAGTTAAAAATTCATACAATTTCATAGCTTAGGATTGAAAATTAAAAACAAGGTACCTCGTAAGTAGGTTATACTGTAACCTAAAAATCTTAAAAATATAATCACACAGTTTTTAGATTCTGAGTGAAACGATGAATGTATTGATTTTACAATGATGTGTGTTTTTTTTTATTTATTTATTTATTTTTTTTTTTGTGTCTGTGTACACGATAAGTAGTCGAAATAATGCTTCGATTTTCAACTGCAGTATCTTGTTCGATTGGAAAGTGAATATCGTTGGTGCATTGCCGCATTGGGGAGGTCAAAATTTAAATTTCCCAGTAGTTTTCAAAAGCGCCGGGAAAAACAAAAGAAAAATTAAGGATAAACGGGAATTTTTACTCAAAATCTGTTTTCGAGAAAATCGATTTTGGTTTTTGGTGTAACTTTAAAACAAATTACCGTAGATACATGAAATTTTCAGTGGTTGTTTATATTTGTATTTTCTATACACGATAACATTTTCAAAATATTTTGATTTATTTTGAACTGTTTAGGAACATTTTCAGTTTCCAATTTTATTAGTTTTTTTTTTATGAATATCAATAAAAATTTATTTGTTGAGTAAAAATACTTGAAAATTTAATAGAAGGCTCCTAGAATATTGTTTCAAAGACAGATGAAAAATATTAAAAATCGTTAGCCACAGTTTTTTTTTTTAAGCATTTAAAGTTTAAAAAATGACAAAATATGGAAAAATCACGAAAATTAGCAAATTATTTCGAGTTAGGAATTCATAAAAATTTTTCTTTTTAAATCTAAGATATGAAAATGTAATACAAGATTCCTTATAAGATTTCCTACATTTATCAAAAAAAAAAAAATTCTATAAGAAAGTCAAATTAAATTTTTATGAGCGTTTGAAATTCAAATTTTTACAACTCGATTTCTCATGTGGCGATTTCCTTATTTTGTTGTAATTCAAAAACGAATTACTGTAGATACATGAAAATTTCACTGAATGTTTATATTATTAGCATTTCCTATACACTATACAATTTTGAAAATATTTTGACTCTTTTTGAGCCGTTTACGGACATTTTCAGTTTTCAATTTTTTTAATTTTTTTTTTCCAGAAATATCAATAAAGTTTTATCTGTTGGGCCAAATAGTGTAAAAAATTAATACCTGATATATTGTTACAATAGTAATTGAAAAATATTAAAAATACATATTTTTAAAATACATAAAAATACAATATTCGGATAATATATTATCAACATATATATATAATATAATATTATATATGTTTGTGATATAGCGATTATATGTTTTTAATAATTAATAACACTTAAAGTTTAAATATCATAATTCATTAAATATAATTTTGGTTTAGAAAAGAAATGAAAAAAGTGATGGAAAGCCAACGTAGTGGTTCTTCTAAGGATGATATTTATGTACCTACACTGTGGTATTATGATTTATTATTATTCACTAAAGACCAAGAAATACCCACGGACAGTATTTCAAATTTGGGTGAAAATGAATGTCCTGTGATGAATGAACCGATGCTTGATGATGATGAATCAAATGATATAACTGACAACACAGAACCAATTAATTCAATTGTACCTGAGGATCAACCACAAAACACGGTAATATTCTATTCATATTTAAATTTCATTATTTAATTAATAGTATAATATATTCAACTATAATAATAATAATAATAATAATAATAATAGTAACAATGAATACACAAAGTTATAGATGCTAAGCTCTTCCAGCTCTAATCATAGCATCTTGCCATTCAACTCTTCCTTCAGTATTAAAGAATTCTTTATAATTATCTCTGTTTATTTTTGCTCTTATAGTAACAGTTCTTGAATTAACTGGCTGTAAACCCACTAATTCCACTGCATTGTTCCTCCAATCCCCTTGGTGTTTTTCACAACCATCTGTATCCTCGCTATCAACTGTGGTTGGTGAAATGTATGCATTGCATCTTCTTCTTAAAAAGTTATGTAAAACACATATCGCTAATATAACATAAGATATATTTTTTGGCTTCATGTTGATAGGTGTGTGCAAAATACGAAACCTTGAAGAAATAATCCCAAATGCATTTTCAACTACATTACGAGCTCTGGACAATCTGTAATTGAAAATCCTTTTTTCAGAATTCAAATCTTTCTGGGCATACGGTTTTAAAAAATGTTCTTCCAAAGAAAATGCCTCGTCACCAATAAACACATAGTTCATATTATTCACAGTTGCGTTAGTATCTGGCAAGTTTAATTTCTTAGCCAATAATTTTCTGCCAAATTCTGTATATTCAAAAACACCCCCATCAGATAATCTGCCATTTTTTCCAACATCAACATATATAAATTCATAATTAGAGTTGACTAAAGCCATTAAAACAATGCTATTAAAATTTTTGTAATTATAGTATGTTGATCCAGATTTTGGAGGTGGAACAATACGTATGTGTTTTCCATCCATCGATCCTCCACAATTAACAAATTGCCATCTATCTTGAAAATCTTTAGCTACTTGAAGCCATTCATCTTTTGTTGTAGGAAACTAAAAAATATCAGAAAAACTACAAATATATTTTTATGTTGATGAAATATTTATAAGATAATTTCATATTATTTAAATAATGATTAATAGTCTGTTAGTTTGATATGTACCTATTTGCAAATTAAGTAGAATAATTTTAACTAAATTACGTTATTATTTTGTTTATAAAATTAAATTGTTCAATTAAATATTAATTCATGATTGTTTAGAGTGGCATATTTGCAACACCTTCGCCAATTCGTCCTGGAATTAAAAAAAAAATGAAAATGGCTGATACACAATTGGAATTTATGAAAGTATGTACAGCTGCTTTAAAAACTCAAAATGTTACTGATGTCAGTGAGTGTGAAGCAATCGGCATTACTGTGACCAAGAAGTTAGGTAGAATGGATCCAATTCAAATGGTTTATGCCGAATCGATAATAAATACAGTTTTACGTAGAGGCTTACTTAATACATTGACAGATGACACAAATGTATGTGATAATAAATGTTTTTCTCATTTGCTTTCTATCCCATCAACACATAATGCCGCACCATCTCTAACATCTAACCACTATCAAAATGTAACTCGGACATATCCATTGGAGTATACAGCCACACCTTCACGCCCAACACCACAATACTATACAGAAGAAATGTCATCTCATGGTCCACCTTCAACTCCAGATTCATATGCAGAAGAAATGTCATCTCATGGCCCACCTTCAATTCCAGAATGTACAGATGATTCATCGTTTATAGAAAACAGCAATCAACTTAGAATTTTAAAAAATTTTTATGAAAGTATAGGTTCAGAAACTTCAAAAAGTCATCTATAATTTCCATTTAAAAGTTTAAACATAAATAAAAATGTGAATAAGTTGGTTAATACTAAAAGACTAGGTCAACCTAACTTAACACAAAGTAAAGTTTTCTAATAACTATTCTAACCTGTGACGAAAACATTTTTCTGCGCCTACCTATGTGTTATTGTATTTTAAAATAATTAATATATACTTAAATCAATGCTTTAATATAATATGTTAAACCAATGTTATACATTTAAAAAAAAACCATTTCTGTTAGGGACATTTTGTAATTTTTGTCGAAGTTAATGATTTATCAATTGTTACACCATTCATAATATACCAAGTCAGTAGTCATCAACATAATATTGTTAATTATTCCCAGATTTAAATTTATTAAATGTATTTATCTATTATATTGTTAACACTTTACACTAAAATACAGGTGCTAGTAACTATAATATATTACCTATGTTCAATGTTATGTAATTATATTCTAATTATTTTAATTGTAATTATATTGTAAAGTCAACTGAAGTTAGAATAATCTTATTGAAATTATGTTATTAAATATAAACCTAAGACATCTAAAAAATAATGTATTACCTACATTTATTGTTATGTAATTATATTCTTAAGTAAAGTGAAGTTTGAATAATTTTATTGTAATTATGATTTTATTAAATAAATCTAAGCCATCTTAACAAATAACAGTTGACCTAACCTATATGAGGCATGGTTGAGTATTTGATATTAGGTATCATATTTAGGTGATATTGCTAGATATAATACTAATAATACTATGATATTTTAGTTAGTTCAGTCGTATAGCCGTAATTAAATAAATATATAACATAATAATTTACAAATATTATAAGCCATAGGTACTTTACCTTCATATATTCTTCTTTCAACACTTCAAAAATGGCTTTGCATGTTTCAGGAATTAGTACACTTAATGATGGAGCAGAAATTCCTGAACTGAATTTTAGGTCCTCAAAAGATCTTCCAGTTGCCAGAAACCTTGACATTTATCATTTTTTATTATTAAAATAATTTACGAGTAATGACTTAAATGCTAAAATCCTAAATATATTTACCTAAGTGTTGCTGTGAGACGTTCTTCTACACTAATACATTTCCTCATTATTGTATCGGTTTTACAAATTTTTGGACCAACTAATGCTAATAACATATCAAAACATGCACTATCCATCCGTAAATAATTTTTAAATTCGTCTGGGTAATTTTCTCGTAGTTCCGATATTAATGGCAAATGACCAAAACGCCTCCGATATTCCTTCACCCACACACTGCTAACTCGTTTCAATTTTGATAGATTTTGATCCATTATTGAAAACAATCCAACCAACGCAATAGTACGAATACGATTGTTTTCTCGAATTTTCATCATTTTGAAAAAAAAAAAATATTTAGCTTAAAAACTTCCACGCGACTGCAAAACTGTTGGAATTTCGAACACTCCACGCGCCACGCTTTCACGCTTTCAAAACGTCGGGAATACACTTTAGACGAACGTTTTTGAGCGAAGGACGAATGGTAAGGAGGAAAGCGCGCGGGAAAGAATTTTACAGCAATTTGACTAGAGAGGATTGCGCGCCACAGTATTGCGCGCAGTCAAGTCCTCGCTCAAACCCGTACGTTCCAGGAGTGAAGGAAAGATTCTACGTGTAAAGGCGCCTATTTAGTCAATAATATTATATTATATCTTTACCGTTGTCGGCCGTAGTGGCGTAATCACTAATCACTAATCAGTCTCCGCCGCACTGCGAATCGATACATCTGTAACGAACTGGGGGGCTTGGTACCTACTATTGTAGTGATAATAGTAGATAAGTGGCTCCTAGTACGTTAATGGTTAATGTGCAGGTCGCAGACACTTCTTCAGATGTTGTAGTCGTGGTTGATAAATACCTAAATAAGAGAACAGTTGTTGTACAATATAATATTGTGAGTTTTATTATTGCACTTCGATAATTTTACTATAAATAAATGTATAAGTCCAAAATATTGTTGTACAGAGTACAGAGAAGGTGCTTGCACTAATGGGTGGTAGACGGTAGTGGCGGAACTACATATGATTGAAGGCGGGATTTTCCGCGGGCCTCATCGTGAAAGGGGCCTCGGCGCCCCTCAGCAAAATTATGTACTTTTTAAAAAATTTCGGTTCAAGTAAATAAAATCATTAAATACTGAAATAATACAAAGTATACTGATAATTGATTACTAAACGTGTATACGGATAACCATACATCATAGTATTTAGTAGGTACTATTAATAATTAATGTGAATAATAATATTATAAGAGTATAATAATATTGTCAATTCTAGTTATTGCGATATGCGGGCATGCGGCGGCGTTACGTGGTAATTCGGAGTGGAGCCTATAATAGCTGGTATACTAAATTATAGAAATATAATATAGATTATATTATACTACGGTCTCCGGCCCAAGAAAGAAATTATTTTTTTCATTTCATTCTAACGATTTTAATATGAGAGTGGTGTTTGAGGGTGTTTGCCGTTTGGTGTCAGAAACAACATCCAAGTTACTTAGGTAAGTAGTCTTACAATTATTTTGCATTGAAAAACAACATTAAATTGTGATTCGTAAACAATCATTGTGGTCATTGGTGTTACGTAAATACTAGAAATTTAATATTTAATTTATTAAAACTAATGGTTTTGAACATATTTATATATTTCATCTACATAATATATTAAATTTTAAAGAAAATTAAATAACCTTATAATTTAAAATTTTATGAAAAGTATTTAGTACAATCACGTGAGTACTGAGTTGTCATATTACTTTTATTAAATATATCGTGAACGCGAAATCCCATATCGAGTAGGTATCGACAATCTCATTATTATACCGTGTTCGCAAATCGTCACGTTATATTATATATTTATATTGTCGTAGACGCGATTGTCACGTATTATAATCAGGGCTCGAAATGGACCGGAACGCACCGGAACGCAGTTCCGGTTCACGACAAAAAAATTTTTAGCGTTCCGGTTCGTAAAAAAATACGTTTATCGTTCCGGTTCAAACAAATTTTTACTGTACCTAGGTACTATATTTTTGTAAAATTTAAACATTTTGCAGAATTGTGCATTGTAAAATATTTAATAAACGACAAACGACCGCGACGGCGCGACGCATTAGTAAATTTATTGCTTATCTTTAGATAATCGTCATTCGTCGTCCGCCGATAGCGTAGTTTGTCTATAATCACACGATACGTACCTATGTGTATTTTTAACGTGTAACGTTTTAACGAAATACTATGGAATGGTGCATAAGACGTTTTGACATCCCCACGCACAGATTTCTATATATTGAGTGTAGTATAGAAGTCTGTGTCCCCACGTGATCATATTGATACTCGTATGTTTTGATTAGCATTTAGTAGGTATCGTTTAAGCTGCAGTAATACATGTATTATATTTTTCCGATCATTAATTACATTAGTCTATAGCGTGTATTATTCCGTGCGAAAAATATGAGTTCTTCTTTACTAAATTGGGTAAATTCGTTCTAAGTCCAATGGACCACCTCTAACGAAATTCGAACCAGAAAAATACGTTCGATCTTGGTTATTGAATGGTCGACATCATGATTTAAGATAATATAATATTATATTATCTTAAATCATGGTCGACATTCAGCTGATGATACCGCAAGTCGTAAAAGAAAGTGTGATAAGACCTACGAATCACTGTGGAGGTTATTGTAAAAAAATTGTATTGAAGCTGTACCTTTTTTAATTATAAATATAGAATTTAAATAAATATAAGTTTTTAAGTAGTTCTTTTATATTTATATTTTTATTTTATATAATATATACATATTCGTAAGTAAGTAAAAGAAGGTAAAAATATATTTAAATTTTTAAAAGGGCTGAAAATATAATGTGAGTTTCATAAAATAATAGACACAACTTATTTATTATTAAAAAAGGGTTAGTAATTTTGGTTGGGTGAAGCCCCCAATTCTATGGTATGTACTAAAAAAAAAGCGTTCCGGTTCAGAAAATTTTCCATTTCGAGCACTGATTATAATATATTATACATTTTATTAGTATTTTTAATGGACGCTTGACTATTTTCCTTGACTCTCATTTAATATTTGTATACCTCCATCGAGAATCACTACATATTATTATTAACCTAACCTAACTCATATAACCGCTAAATAGCCATATTATTTATTATTGTTTTTATCTGTTGGGTCGAAATTGACTTAAAATATAATTTAAATTAATAAATATATTGTTTTAAATTACCGTGTACGCAAATCGTTTATTTTTTGAAAATTATAATTTAATTACTAGTGTCCTGACTTATTAACGGCATTTTACTTGTTCCTTACATTACCAGTTACTGTGGAGAGTGCAGAAAGATCATTCTCAAAATTTAAATTAATTAAAAATTATCTAAGAAGCACCGTCTCCCAAACACGGCTTAGTGGTCTTGCGATGATTTCGATAGAAAATGAGCGTGCTAAGAAATTGAACTTATCGTTATTGGTGAAGACGTTTGCTCATTGTAAATAAAATATTATTATTAGGGTTTCCGAAATTATAATTCAATAAATTATTAGTTTACTGTAAATTATATTTTATTTTTTATTGAATCCAAATAAACAGCTCAATATTTAGAAATTTAAATTACAGATATAGGGCCTCCAAAAAAAATTGTATCCACGGGCCTCAACGATCGTAGTTCCGCCACTGGTAGACGGTAGTACACGTCAGGCCTATTCGGTTTCGGGCTCCCTTATATATGAAGTTCCCCGTGCCCCTCACCTACAGATACGGTATCTTCGTTCTCACGGATGTCATTCGTGTGGTCAATGACCACCACTGGTCATCATTCTAGCCCACGCATTTACGATTGAATGTATAACTGATTTATGATTAGTCATTTTACTCTTCAATATTTTAATTTCATCGTATGCGTCCAGTATTCCTGTCAAATATGACAACCGCCTATTTTAACCCTATTGTACTTAATATCTGGTTATTCCGACCTATTATATATTGTAGTGGCTATACACTCGTAATTTATGATTTATTGTCACGCGTAGTAACTTGCTTACTACACATCTAATTTATTCCGATCGTTTATTAGTTATTACTAATTTTTGACGCGTGTGCGTACGTACCAATTATTTATCATTTTATTGGTATATTTTTTAATACAATTTACAAACAGCTTATTAAAATGAGTAAAAATAAAAAACCAAGTATTTGAAACTTAATATGTTTGTGCCTTTGTGGTGGGTTGAGTGCAATAATATTATAGTGAAGAGAGACGAAATAATTGGAATTACTGCGTTTCCTGGATACTCGTTATCGTAAATAATAATTGTCGGTAACTACATTATTTCTCTGTGTTCAAAAAATAATATTGGAATCCCGAATCTCACACGTAGAACGACCTTCGATATATTTTAGTTTTTAGTGACGATGGGCTGTTCCAGGCAGCGGCGTGTTGTGTTGAATTTGTTATTTTGGGGCGATCACCAATATTTATTTTAATAAAAGGTTGTTATATAAATTACCAACTCAAGATAATATGCAAATGTTTGTGAATTTTGAAAAAATATTGTGAATTTATTATATTACATTGATTCTTTTTTAAAATATACACTAATAACGACTTATAAGGATTTACGAGTTTTTTAACCGAGCAAAAATGTATTCATCGGCGGGAATATTTAAAAAAAAAAAAAAATACCAACAACTTCTCATGTCTATAAATGCTCAAAAAAAGTCGAAACATTTAGAACATTTTATTATGTACAAAAATGACCATATAAACATTTTGTGAAAATTTAAAGAAACTACGGTTATACGAATACAATATATTTGATCCTACTTGTAAAAATCATAGTTTGACTGTTGAAGTTTTTAACCCTAAAAAAGAGAAATGGCTATCAACGGATCAACTATTTACTACTATACCTACCTACCTATATGTATATCATATATGAATAAAAACCTGTAACTAAGACGTCTAAAACCAAATAGAAAAAGGTGGTCAAGTGGGTGTCGTTCTGCTGTACAGTAGGTTACAAGTGAGTCACTGTAATAGTGTATCGAATGGATTGTGTTAAATTTGAATCCAATGATATTATATTATCATTGTATAAGAAAAACGATTCTGAGCGAAGACGTTCCGTCAGCATACCTATGACATTACTAAGTTTATTAGATGATATTATTGTGAATAAAGAGTTATTATAACCTATTTACTTGGAACCTTGTTTTAAATTTTCAATCCTTCGCTATAAAAGTTGAATACTTTATAAATTGTTAACTACAAAATAATTTTAAATTTGATAAATTTTGTAAAAATTAAAACTTGAAACGCTTATAAAA